TTTCACAAGTCACCATTATAGTTTGTATTTCTACCATTTACGAAGGAACATTTCAGATCAATAAATTTTCCAGGACAGACCCAATGGCTTCATTTTCTAAATTTGAGAGTATTTCGGATTCAAATGTATACTCCTTCAAATTTGGAGTTAAAATGTATTGGAATGTGAATAAGTCCGGCATTCTTTTCTGTCATTTTCAAGATGAACTACTTAATGGATTCAGTTTTGTATGGGACACAACAAGATGTCTAAATTCTAAAAGTGAATGTAGTGTCGCACATTTTTCCAAGTACTAGAAGTTCCACTCAAAAATCGGCTGGATTTAATATATTCTTATCAAGAATGTAAATTCATAAAAATGCTGTACCTATATGAAGAAATAGTGTACAAGACTATTGCATTAGCATGATGACAATGGAAATCAGAGTGTATGAACATTTAGTACAGTACTTCCCACCCAAATTTTCCTCTGTATTCGCTGCTAGTCATCATGCAAGAAGCATATTTCCTCATACGTTTAAGAAATGCATCAATGACGAGCGCCGTACTGTGAATAAACGTTTTAAAAAAAATGGGAGAGTATCATACAGTATCTGCAAACCAAGATTTCATCGCACAATCTACAACAGCTGACAAAAAACTAGTCAAATCTGAGTTTCACGCCTCACACACAAATAAGTTCCAATGACTTGCACTTGGGTAATGAAAAAGAAAACTCGGATCACAACATTTTAAATCAATATCAATTGGAACTGTGCGCTCCATCTTGAGGTACTCGAACATTCTGGAATCTACAACGTATTAAGCCAAAAGTTGTTGGATTCTCAAAGGTTTGAGGCAGCTCTGCTTCAAGCAGTGGATAATGATGGTTTCTCTCATAAGATGAGGAGCCCATCTCGCAGATTCTTTTGTTCACCCCGCTTCGCCCTCGGAATTCTTGAACCAGACACGGCGTTGATTCCAGGGGTCTTGGCCATCAAGTAAATATTGATTCCACCGTATTTATCGACGGCCGCCACATGGCATGAGAATGTGGCGGCTGTTTATGAAAGAGAAGCTGGGCTATACATAACAACAAAACAAAAAAACCAGTAAGATTGGCGCCTCATCGTTTGAGTGAAGTGCAGAAAGCTTCCAGGGTGACTTATGCAAACATTTTCAGAAAAATATTTCGAAAATCAGACCCAATTTTTTTTTCTTGTGTTGAAGAATCTGAGGAATGTCTTTTTCTGAATTCATTTTAGTCATATGCTCTCTCAAACATGAGCACGAAAGCTTTTGTACAATTTTTTAGACCCCCATTTCTTCCAGAACCGGAATTGTTTAAATGGTTCCACTGAAAGACACGATTTTCCATCTCCCCCGCCGTAGTATAGTGACTTTGACGAGCAAATTTTCGTCCAATACGCGATTGCTGTGAGAGCACCATGCGCCTGAGTTGCAAGTCCTTCTGTTCACGCTTCACCTTCTTCTCGAATTGATGCTGATTTCGCAATCTTTCCAAGGCTTCGACTTCAGCCAGTTTCTTCCGGGTCAAGTAGGCTTCTTCGTACAGTATACAGCAGTACCCAGAAGGCAGACGCTGAGCTACAGGATGCAAAGAATAAAAGAAAAACCTCATATCAGACCGACGACTCTCACGCTTATTCATGCAAATGGTGATTCTGAACAATCATCGGAGTTAGTCGTTTGAAAATATAGCAGAGTCAACCTCCAAAGATGCAAGCACCTTATTCGGACTCGTTTCCTAACCGCTATTTAAAATTATAACTTGGAAATCAGGATAAACTCTCTGGCCCGTCGAAGGTGCAATGCTGGGACGCCAAAAGAAAACTTCGCTGACTAAGCTGGGTTAGTAAGTCATCTTCATTCCCATTCTTGATCCCAAAAACGTGGAGATAAAGGCAAGAAAAGTTAAACCAAGCAACGCAGAAACGAGTCAAATGAAGGACCCTACTTATTTAAACATTCCACTCTCTTAATTCATCTTCAAAACCTCACCGATTTTCCGTCTGAGCACTAACTTCACGTTTGAGCAGCGCGTCGTCAGGAAGCATTCGTTTGCGAAGTTTCATCAGTATTTTTGGAGTCCTTCGGCAGACTTCGCAGACCATGAATGTCTAAATTTGAGCACTTCAGCACACTGATGAGGAAACATACACTGATGAGTAACCAACTCCTATTTCAACACAAATCATGAGAATAGGCACACGAAAAATTGACAAAATCCCCGATTGTTCTCTATACAGTATTTAATATTATGCACACCCAAGCTGTGATTGCTACCGGCTAAATCGAAGTACAACTTTGTTCTATATCTGGTGAGTGATCTTATTGGGGACCTCTATCCTGATCTTCCTGATTCTGTGAAGACTGCGAGCCAGCAAAAGTCTTACTAAACCAAACAGATCAGTCAACGATCAACACAAGCAGTAATCAATCATTTTCCCACCAATAATCCGCGCGGGATAAATTTTAAATTCCTCTAGCACATCAAGTATAACAAAAAAGGGTCGTGCGATCAGAACGCAATTCAAAACTGCATTAGAACAGCGACATGTCTTAAAAATGCATCTTGATTCAGGAATCTGCGTTCACCTGGAAAGCAGTTAAAACTTCGACTTCAGGGCCAACACCAAGCTCTGGCGGGAATACAAGGTACAGCGCGGAGCGGAGCGAGGGATGGGGGATGCCATGACATCCATCACACTCCGCACAGAATTTTCAAATAACTTACATAGGTGTCACTTCTAAACAATAGGCAGCATGACGTTCGCAATCATTAAAAGAAATCCACTGCTGGAGTGCTGGTGCATCATTTTACTGTGCCAGAATAGTAAGAGGGTATATATTGACTCAAGTGTTGTGTACAGCATGGGAATAGTTTTCTGGAATTCGCAAAGTGGGAGCCTAAATCTCTCTTCCGCTGTCCAGAAATACACATCAATGCATTTCTGTGTAGAAAGTGTGGAAGACATCATATGACTTGGCTGAAATGGGAAGGGGGTGTTATTACCAGGCGGGATGCTTTGAGTCATATTTGATGGTGGCCTCTATCTTGGAACCCCGATGGCGATGTGCTCTGGCTGTTTGGTTGAAATCATTTTCTAGTTCTCAATTGTGTCAGTTCCTCATGATGAAGGTCTTCCCATATAAACTTGGCAAGAAGTTTAAACTGATGTTGTGGACAATATACAGATGATCTGCATCAGGCCTCCAATTATTATGTGTGGTCTTGCGTACGCGTTCATGAGATTTGCGTGCTGAATGGTGTTTGTTTGTGAAGGGCAACAAAAGTCTCTGTTCCATTATTGTGTATGGAGTGTTCTTTGTGCCTTGAGAGTCCTTCTTCTGTGCATTCTGGACCTTCTAAAGCATGAATTGTCCATGAGTTCCCTTTAGTTTGGTTTCAGGAAGTCTGAATTTTTACAGAGGTATGCGCGTTGCATCAACGTTTACATGTGCTCTTGATATTAAATGCAAATTCGTATGTGGAGGTGAGCTGTGGATCATATTCTTTCCAGAGTTTCCATGCAATTGTGTTACGAAGCGGGTAAAGTGCGAAAATTGAGTGAGCTAGAGTGCTGGAAAGGGATCCAAAGACATCAGCATGTTTACGTGGAGCAACTCTTTTGGGGATTCGGTTGTTTCCTCCCTTTTCAAGATTTTGCTAGTTATATATCAATGTTGATATTCATGCATGAGGTTTATATTTCAAACTGAACGGTGCACAGGATGTGATCATCATCATGGAGATTGTGTAAGTTTTGTGAAGACAAGTGTGGATGAGGAATGAGACAACGTTGAGACTCTTAATCCCAAACGTATCGCAATGGTGATCTAGCAAGTTCTAGACTTTTTGATTCCTGAAATCCAGGCTAATGTTTCTGTCCTGAACATGGCTCGGTGTGAGTTTTTTGGGTCCCTCATCCCAATCTGACGCGTTTTGCTCCTGGCGTCACATCGTCTTAGAAAAGGTAAGCAATGGAATCGCAGTCATGCTATTTGGAGTAAACTACAAGGTTTGATTTATAAGTCTTAATAAACCGTCACGCCCGGATTCGGAGGCAGCCTCCGACTTTTTTTCCTTTTGCTTGCCATCAGTCCTTCATCAGTGTCTCGAAAATTGTAGGCCCACCCAGCTGCATATGGAAACAAGAAGAAAATGTCACAGTGAATGCAATGCACTGAAATGCTGAAGTTTGCTTAAGAGTAGTTGCGCACTTGCATGCTCTTCCAGTCTAAGTTGTCTACGAATTTGCGGGTGGTCTGAGTGCAATGAAGGATTCCTCGAAAATGAAAAAGAAGGTATTGGTGATGAAGCTAAGCTTTTGGTTATGCTATATGCAACCCGTGATTCTGGTTGTTCCCGACGATACGGAACACCCTGACAGGGATAGATATTTTAGGACATTAGGGAGATCCTCATTCCTGCTGTGGAAAATCTGCTCGATCAACATAATGGAGCACGATTTTCAACACTGGTTTGGTTGTAGGATTTAACGCATGAAAATTTTTTTGAAATCGGCGGTATGTGAGTGAAATAATAATGGATCTACTGTATTTCAAAAATTATCGAGATTTATGAACCCACCCTTGTATATTTGAGGGTTCTGAATCATATCTGTGTTGACGGAAATGAACCTCTGAAAATTATAAATTTTGTGAAAGCAGTCCTGCTTCTTGGAATGTGACCTGCTTGATGATAAGTGTTCGTGCCAATTTCTTTGCTTCAGTGAATGAGACGTTGCTGAGTTACGTACTGTATTTAGAGAAGGAAGAAAAGAGCAGCATCAGAGGCTTTGGAAAAATCAACAATTATTCATCATCAGGATGTGAGTTGTTCGGAGCAATTCCGTCACAGCTCCGCAATAATAACGAGGACTCCATCCCTACTGATGTTCTCATGTAACTCAGAAACAACGGGTAAGTACTGTACTAAATGTTTTGTTTCATTTCCTAAGTAGTTTTCCTCCCCCATGTTCATGTTTCATTCTATGGGTTTGTTGTGAGGAGTGCATGCCAGGAATATTTTTGAAGTTTACCCTAAGCTTGTACGCGCCATATGACGGTCAAGATCAGCATTATATATCTCATCAAAATTTCAATCCTAAATTACCGCAAATAATTGTTTTAATATTATGATAGCTTCAGGCTTGACCTGATTTTGGATTTCTGTAAAGTTTTTAAGTCCTTTTACAAAAGAAAATAAACCTTTTATTGTCAAATTGTCTGCCAATATTGGCGCCTTCACAAATTTTGGATCAGAAGAGTATGAAGAATACATGCGTTTATTTAGTTATTTAGGTCAGAAAATCGGTTAAATTATTATATTTAATGTATTAGGTATATTGATTTAGTATGAATAACTTAATGAGTTTATTGCCTTGAGGTTTATAAATGTTTCATTCAATTACAGCATCTGCGAAATGAGAATGAAGTAGGGATGAAGTATATAAGATGAACGTAATTTCTTCTTTTTCCTTCTTGCCTATATCTACTGAAATAATACTTCGCGTGTTTTCAATGTAACAATGCAGTATGAGCGACAATCCATCTTTGAATATGAAACACCAGAGTGGGAGACTATACATAGAGGGGGTTTTATTTCACGTTCGGATTGAGCTCAAACAAGTAGAAAGTCGGTGTAAGCAACACTTGGTGCGCGTGACTATACTCAAGGGAGATTCAGGGTTTCAAAAAGGAGTTCCTTTCACGTTCACAGTTTGTACGAGACTGAGCTCTCTGGCTAGCCTGCCAGTTGTCATGGCCGGTGGGTGCTTCGAGAGTCAAGGACACTGTGCATGCCAAAACTGAGAAATAGGGAAAGGGCAGCGACTAGAGGTCGCTGGCCCTTACTCTCCCCCCTCCGGAATGAATGCTGGGGGAGTCGGAGGACAATCATGCATGCATTGTTTGCAAATTAATTTTTGCAGGCAAAATGGGGCAATACCAAAGGGGGTTTTCAATACAAAAAGTTTGCGCGATTTACAGGACAACGTCGGTGATGTCCTCTTTGGCTCCCGGTGGGTCGGCAAGGAGTTGGTCCTTGTCAAAGATGTTGATAGCTGCGAGAGTGGCGGTTTCTTTGAGTAAGAGCGTGTCTTCTGTGTCAAGGAGGCGCTGGTCATCACAGTCAAGGTCCATGACTGGGGAGGTTTCGGAAGTCAAGCTTCGGACAGCGGGGCTGGGCTGTGAGCCGGAGCATGGTTTGGGTGTGCTGACCCGGTCGCTGGAGGACTCTGTAGAGAGGGCGGAATCATTTAGTCGGTGGTCTGGTGCTGGTTTGAGATTGTGAGTTTGGGAGGAGGAAGGAGGCATAGCGCAGCTGTTATAAGGTTGCATTTCCCAGGCATGCAAGATGCAGGGGCCCGTGGGGGTATCAAGGATGTATTTGCCTTGACCAAGGTTTTTTTTGTACTGAGAATGGCCCAAGTCTTTTGGGGAGGAAGCGACGGTGTGCGGCGTGGCGGAGCATGGTTGAAAGGCGGGGGAGAATGGTGATATTTTGGCCAATTGAGAAGGGTTTGTATTTGTTGCGGTTAGCTGTGTTGCAAAAAGCTTTGCGTTGTTTTTTAACATGCGCTTGGACATTGGTTCATTCCTGAGAGATATTGGGAGGTTGAATTTTGAAGGTGATGTCTGCAGGGAAAGGGATGGAGTGTTTTTTGAAGAGGTTGAGAGGGGAGAGGTTGGTGGTGGAATGAGGAGTAAAATTGTAAGAATGTGTGGCTTGTTTGGGAAAATTGTCCCATTGATTAGGTGCTGTTGTGATTTTGGCAATGATTTGGTTGAGGGTTTTGATCGCGCGTTTGCAGCAACCATTACCTTTGGGGTGGGATGGCTGGGCGATGTGCACCTCGATTTGGTTAGCACAGATGAACCTTTTGTATGCATGAGAGAAGAAGACTGCAGTGCAGTCTGAATGGATCAGGTCGCAGGTGCCAATCTGAGAAAAGATGTCAGAGAGAAATGCGCAGAGAGTATTAGAGTCAGCTTTTTAACTGGTCTGGAGATGATGAATTTTGAAAAATGGTCGATTGCAACTAGGGCGTAGCAATTTTGTGCTGGTGTG